GTTTGTTTTTCACGAGTCATTCATTGAATTCTCCACGGAGTTCTGTATAGTACGCGTAAGTAAGTGTCCTACCAGAACAACAAATCGTAAAGTGGAAAGAAGAATAAATTAGAAACAATAGTCGCCTATCAAGGGAAAGCGACATTCGTCCTTGAATATGGCCTACTGACAATATCTCATGTGAGAGGGTGTGTCTGTGTGTGTTTTTTTTTGGTAGAATAATCAAGAGAGTTGCATACTATGCATTCTCTCTCGCTGACTCACTCTCTCACTCTGTCTGTCTCTGTCGTTGGCTCTATGTGTTTGTTCCAAACTTAAACCGTCTCTTGTGAGTATAATTCACCACACAGAGAGACACTGGGTTTATGTAAACGTGTCTGAGTGCCCTACGGCTTCTCTTTCTTCAGCAGCATTCCCGGATTGGCTAAATTAAGGAACCGTCGTATGGTGTGGATGTCTTTTTGCCAGTCATTCCAAGAGGCAAGCTCGTGTGACTTAAGGGCTGCCGTGTTTACCAAAGAAGAGGGAATACCAGCCAGTAGAGCCACCTCAACACCGTAGCTGCGTGTGCATATGCCAGAAACTAAACGGTAGAGAAATGTGATCGTCGGAACACGGTTGTTTTTGCCATCTGATAGGGCAAAATCCATGTACCCCAGCTGCACTATTGAGCCCTGATGCCGATGCGAAGACGAGGCGTTTACTTCATCCCCACCAACCTGTTCCTGCGCAAGAGCGTGGTAGTGTGTGGAAAATAGGAGAAGCGGAGAAACAGGAAGGCGTTGCTTTAACGAGGACAAAGTTGCGTGTGCAATGGCGTAACCATCATGCGTGGAGGTTCCACGCCCAAGTTCATCTACTAGGCACAAACTCCATTGGTCTGCATGCCAAAGGATATCAGCTGTTTCACTCAGTTCAACGTAGAGCGTACTCTGCCCCTTGTGAGAAGCATCACGCGCTCCAATACGTGTGAAGATACGGGACACCGTGGCAAGACGCATGCGTGTTCCAAAAATTGGTCCCCCCATTTGTGCAATGATGACGTTTACCGCGACAGTACGCATAAGCGTACTTTTCCCGGCCATGTTCGGGCCTGTCAGAACCAGAATACGCCCCTGTGCTGCATTGAGGTGAATACTGTTTGGTACTGAGTCTCTACTGAGGAAGGGATGGGTTAGTTCTTCTGCCTCCACGCTTGCCCCAGCCTTGTCATCCTCCACGATAGGCCACGCAAATGTCATTCCACAGTTCTGCAGGGATGCGAGACTCAAGAGACAATCAAAATATGAGAGTGCTTCTGTGGCACCGTACAAGAGTGGGAAATAGTTACACATATGCGATGCCACATTTCGTAGTACCAAAAGAAGGGCGTTTGATTTCATCACCTTTGCCTTCTTATGCGCCTCCACCAGAGGCTCAAGGGAGGTCACAGCATACTTGACACTCTTGCCACTCCGTGATCGCTCAAGAAACCCACTCAAAGCTGTTTTTGGCGCTGCACGAATTGGCACCTCCACAAGAAAGCGATCGTTGCCAATGACGCAGTAGTTGATCGCAGCACCTGCAAACACCTCTTCCTTCAGCCGATGTAGTTCCTCCTGTAATTTCGCCTCAATGGTATCGAGGCTATCCGTTGCTTCATCGTACGTGGGGGATGTTCCTCGAGAGGGAGCGATGACACCACTCGCAAGAGCTGCACTGCGGTCAAAACAGCTCCCAATAGAGTTCACCGCAGGAGCAGCGGAATCTATCTGCGCCCAGAGTTCCTTCAAGAGCAAAGGTGCTGCAGACATCCCCCTTTGAATCTCACGGGACCATTCCACCATGTCCTCAAACGCCTGCACGGTTGCAAGAATGATTTGAAACTGTTTCTTGTACTGAACAAGGGGATCAACAAAAGCCACCTGTGCATCGTTGTTGCTCTTCATGTCTGCTAGGCGCGAAAGATTGCGTTCAAAGTCCACATCCACAAGACCGGCAAAACGCATCTCAAATGTACCGCTCACGAGCCGCTCTCGCTTCACACCACAGCTGGGCTCACTCCCACACTTGTTCTCCTCTGTCACTGTAGGGGTTGTCGTTGTTGCACTCGTTGGAGTCGTGTTGTGTGCCGCTGCCCTTCCCGGCGTCACATCTGGCTCTCCACCCTCACCCCAAAGTTGGCCCAGTTTGTGCGCAACAATGAAGCGAACAGCCTCCTGTCGAGCTACAATGACACGGGAGGAAGCAGAGGGCCGCAAAATCCACGATCGCATGAGGCGTTTTCCTCCATTCGTACAACAGCGATTGAGAAGTTGATTCAGGGATCCACGTTCCCCGCCATCTCGAAGATTATTGACCAGTTCCAAATTACTCACCGTTGTGGCATCAAGTACGAGTCCGCGATCTTCTCGTCGTTCATGCCATAATATCGATGACGCGTGGGAAGATCCAGCTGCAGGGTTGCAAACAATGGTGGAGTTAGACGACGCATACGGAAGATGCAAGGTGTAGGGCTCCGCCTCTGAGAGTATGGGTACGGCGTGAAAAAGTTTTAATGTCTGAAAGTAATATTCCAAAAACTTTCGTGCATCTAAAGAAATGTCCACACCATCAGAGTTCTCGTTTGAAGATGAAAGGGCAGGAAGATCCACCAACTCCACACGAAATCCCTCGCTCTCTATCCAATTCACCAAGCGTTTGGCAAATACTGTCCCTCTCTCATTTCGCCTGGTATTTGCCAAGAAATGACGTGGAAAGATGATTTCACGTGGACGAAGCTGCTGCAAAAGAGCACACAGCATGAGCAACACCTCCTCCTCACGCACTGCGTCATTCCTCTCAGCGCCACAGGGGCAGTGATACACCACATGACGTGAGAGATCCACCGCCAAGCCATCCACAATGCCCTTCACCAAAGGGAAGAGAGCCAGTATAAAAACAGAGCCAGCACCGCTCACCATTGCAGGATCTGTCAAGGTGCCAGGTGTGAGAACTTCAACTAACTCGCGTTGTAGCACCTTTGCGCGTGGAGTCTTGGCAGGTAAATTATCCGCATCCTCTCTCATCTGTTCTACCCAGCCCACCTTGTAACCGCGGAAAACAAAGAGGCGCGCCCATTCACTGAAACTTTGCTCTGGAACCCCCGCAAGTCGCATCTTGCGACGGTTAGTAGATTCAGGCGACAACCTGAGCCCAAACTCCCGGTGGGCAATGATGGCGTCGTAACCGTAGAGCTCATAAAACTTTCCATTTTTGAAAAAAATTAGCGCATCAAAGTACTTTGCCTTGATCTGCCAGTACTGGCGCTCCGCGTTCGCCATGGCGTCAAGGTCCTTAGCAAGAATCACAATTGACGAGGGGGGCCTCATAGGATCTATTCCCGCCAAGAAAGAATAGATTTTCTCCATGCAATGGGTATCCGAAGAATCCGCCAAAGCGTCTTCCATTCTTGCAGGAGAAGCGCAACTCAAAACCTCAGTTAAAAGAAGAGAAGAGGAGGTGGCAAACTCCCTCGCGAGCTTTGGTATTGTCTTTTCTTCCCTCGCAATAGGAAGTGCTGTAATGTATTAATACCTGCGTGTATGTAAGAATGTATATATTTCCTCCCCTAATAGGTGTATGGGCGGCGGTGGGGAAAAGATGAGAATAAATTAAACTGCAGTCACCAGTCAGCAAACTCTCCTTCAATAACCTCCTTCTTCTTTTCCCTTCACTGGGGGGTGGAAGCCTCTTGACAGTAGTAGTACACACACACAAAAAAAAAAAGGCAGACAAAACCCCACAACACAAAAATGAAAGACAAGGAGGAGACGAAAGACAGAGAGAGCGCGAAATTAACTCAAGTTTACACGGCGAGCCGCGGACAAATGAGTAACAAAAAAAGACAACTATATGCTTACATGCATATCCGCTACATTAAGCCTGCATACACACACATGCATACAGATCGCACAACGTGCGAGACCAACCGAGTAAAAGAGGTAAGAAGTGAATGGGGTGGTCCCCTCAATGGACAATGCAACGCATTCCGCAACTTCCAAAAGGCGTGGCACACACTCACCGCGGGGCTGACATGAAGAGAGGCATGTGAGGAGTCTTCCCACCCAAAGCGAGATTAGCACCACTTCATCCCGTACCCGCTGCAGCAAAAAATAAAATAAAAAAAGTAAACGTCCTTTGACTGCCCACGTTGAAAACTCTTTCTATGCAAAAAAAAAAAACGGGGGAAGAAGAGAAATGCATCAGACTCACACACACACAAGGCCTGATTGCTACAAATGCGCATAAAAATTAAAAGTACAAAAAAGAAAAAGACAATAAGGGGCCAACCCGCAACGTTGATGTCCGTAAGGTTCCCCTCTCTTTTACTCGCCGTACTTGGTCTAAGTTTGTTATCGTCGCCCGCAAGGTATTTGGCTCGTTTGGAGTCATCCCTTTCCTCCTCAATCAACACCGCCGTCTCACCCTTGCAATGCCATTCTCACGAACAACGCAAAACTTGGGACCGTTGTAATGACCCCCGCTGTAGACGTTCCAGCCACTCGGGAACCACTCCTCAAACTGCTTGATGCTCGGGCACGTCGCAGGTTCATCGTAAAAGAAACAACCCTCCAGTGGAAGTAGCAGATGCGGAAAACGCGTGTAGACGGGATCGTAAAAGATCTCAACATGGGGCCCACTTTGGGGTTTCCCACTTTCCGACTCGTAAATCCAAAACATAGGTTTTCCATTCAAATCCTTCCTAAAATAATGCTCTCCGTTGTTGCAAAAGAGTTCCTCCACCCTGCTTCTGTCATTTGGGTAGACCGCAATGTCGACATCCGTATCCCATGGGATAATGGCACCTGCATGCCTCCGTGCTCCGAGAGCAGTGCCAGTTGAGAGAAAGTACGTTATGTTCGCGAATTTTAGTTTCCGTATCACCCACACAGTTGTCTCTCGAAGAGCCTTATGCTCCACGCAACATTTTCGATAAGGCCGTTGATTGGGATCTTTCACACCACGCTTAAGCAGGTACTTGTGCAAGGCGCATTCTGGGGTTACTGTATCACAGTCTGAGATGTCAACCTTGTCATATCGATTAAGTTTAGAACTGATCCATTTTTTGTTGATGCGGCGAGAGGCATTCTGCAAACTGCGAAGAAATTTTGGCGGCATAATACGTGAGTCAAATGAAAAGTACGGAGACGGTGGAATCTCGCTTAGCGGCACTAACGTCCCATCCTCATCTCCGCCCCCATAACCAGCCAAGAGTGTCTTTGCCCCCCGCTCCAGTGCACCTTCTCCGTTCAGCACATCCGCCTGTCGCTGAATGTGTGGCGCCATCGTTGTGGATGAAGGAGATGATGCATGCTCCAAGATTATAAGGGTTAGTAGCGGCACCAGTATTAGCAGAAAGCAGATGGCAAAGAACCTCCGAAGGATCCTGGTGAACAGGGGCGCCCTTTTCACCCCTTTTCCTCCCATCCTGCACAGAGGCTAAAAAAAAAAAAAACGGGTGCAGTAGAAACAGTACAAGAAATACACAAGCACAAGGAAAGATCCAGTGCCTAATGCAATACACACGGACACGTAAATAACTGTTAGATGCCGCTCCTTCACGCTTGCACACCAGAAATCAGCAGAAAAAGCAGAATGATAGAGAGGGGAGTGAATGAAACATCCACAAGAACACGCTCCAGAAAATTAAATAAATAAAAAAAACTAGGTTTCGTCACGCATTCCCAGAAATAGTTGTGTGATACCTTTGCCAGTTTCGACCGCCCAGACACAAACTCTTCACAAAGGCTTGGCATACCCTGGGTATAGTCAAAGTTTTTGAACCAGTCCATCAGTAGTTGGGGTTCACGCAGGGTGATTTCAAAAGAGGCTAAGGTCGCGGCTTTTTTACTCATAGGATGTGTTTTTGGAACTCACAATGGGAAGGAGTAGATCGAGAATAAATGTCACCACCTTAAAATTCAGGAGACTATGGTAATGCACCAGCACATGATAATGCATTTTGCGTATTACACAATGCAGCGCATTAAATCCTCTAACGCACAATTGCGTAGCAAGCTGAGAGAGACCTTTTCATGTAGAAAGGATTCAAAGAGATCACTGCCTGCAAATTCATCGCTTATCGCACCAATAAAATGAGCAAAAAAGTCCGCAGCTCAGTCTTTTACGGCGCCACTCCATTGAATCTGCGGGGGTGTGGAGACCAACTGCCTTGATGAAACAATCGCAAGTTTGTAAAAAAATTTCGTCACAGCCCTGGTGATAACTTACTGGCAGCCGTTGTTTTTGTTGTTATTGTTGCTGCTCTTTTCCACCGTATTCGCTTCATGAATGATGCCGGGACGCTATGCTATCTGTTAGGGGAGCCACAACTGCAACACTCGCTGACTTAACAAGGGAGCCACGTGTCTCCACAACGGACAGGCTCTCTTTGCACCCTACCGTGGGAGCCACACCGCGCATCATTGCGGCATTCATTGATGGGGCCTCCAGATTCGTCGTGGTGGCACACCTGCATAATGCCAGTAGGTGGGACAACACATGCGTGGAGAAGCACATTTCAAACACCCAATCCTACAATTGGTCCCACCTCCAGCTGTGCCCCAAACGCACTATGAAAACAGTCCAGTAGTTTTGACCGGTTGATTCATGCACTGTTAAGCATAAGTTACATAAGGCACTGAAGAACTAGAAGAGAAACCCCGTTCACTACCGAATGTCTGTGCCGCTTTACCGTGTTTGGTATCACATTGATGAGTGAAGCTGATGTCGTGGCGGCGACGTCGTTGAGTGATGACCCTCCCCCTCCCCCCCGTCAGGTGCAGTGGCACCCGTAGAGGTAAAGATACCCTTATTTTTCTTCTCTGGCAGAGGCACCTGTGTCAGGTCGTACACCATATGCTCCGCAAACAAGTGAAGCCGCAAAAAGCACATGATGTCATCCAACGCCAAAGAAAGAAATACATGCTCTTCGTATGCCACATGACTCCCATTCTCTAGAGGATAAACAAACAGGTTTGCTGTGACATCCGCTACACATGTTTTGTCTGGCACACCCCAGGAATACAGACAGACATCGCGAAAGAGTGTGTGGTTCCCTCTGCACAATAAAGTAATACCGGCAGCCACCTGCAGAACGATTTCACTTATGGTATAAAAAATCCCCCGAAAAAGAACACAAAGTAGGAGAGAGAAAGTCGCCCATAAAAAAACACAACAAATAATTCGGCACATAAAAAATTACTACTATTACTAGTACCACGTTTATTCTGTCTTAGCAAAATTACATTAAGAAGTACATCCCCCTTTTCGTTTCGGCTGTTTCCCGTACTGGCATTGCCTCCTTACATACACGATACTTGTTATACATGAGGACATAAAAGAAAAACATGAGAAAACATAAAGAAAGAAAGATGGCACCTCTGACGGAAGCTTGAGCAAAATCATCCCGTAATCTCCCGTTCTGTCGTGTGTGATACGAGGGTCTACTTGTGAACCTCCTTGCATGTAATGGTATGCTACAGCCCAAAAAAAAAAAAATCCGGCCAAAAAGCAGAAGGTACCACCCCCGACAGTACTGATAATAATAATAGGACTTCCTTTCAACACTCTGGTCGCTCCCGACAGTCAAAAGTGTGGAATCCATAAAGCTCGAGTAGCACCTTATCTGCGTCGTTGGCGCGCTTCTTCAAGCACGACTCCCTCTCAGCCATTCCTTGGGACACCTTGGAAAGTGCCTCCACAAAATCTGGAAGCAACGTGTACGCCTCCACAACATCAATCAACCATTCTTCCGCGTCAGTGAGACGGGGGTTGCCGAACGTGGCACAGCGCACACCATGGCATGCCCCTCGCTCTAACCAACGGTCCAGAAACCAACCAAAATGACCGGGTTGCCCACCCATGCCAATCCCAATTTTGTCACTATGAGGATGAGCATCAAAACAATACATGAAATTTGAGTTTACAGACGATCTTGCACGATAAATCACACCGCCATCCTTGTTAGAAAATAAGAAGCAGTTTTCACCACCAAAAAAGGCTCTATCTTGGTTGACAGGTCGATGAGTAATACCTTGTGTGTCATGTCCTTCGCGGGCTGCACGTCGAGCAGCTGCAGAACGATTCTTATCTTGTTTTTCTCGCGCGGCAACTGTCTGCCAAGATTCCATAGAAAAGCCACCAAAAACATTTGCTGAATCACAGGCCCTGATGACTATCAAGGTTGGACCCTTGTCCACTAACCCTTGGACAAGCTTTTGAAATGAGCGTCCATGAATCTGACTATTGTAGAGTAAATGCCACTGGGGTTGCCGAGGAGAAACCGGCCAGCAACTCGATGGAAGGGCATTGGCAATGATTACGCTAAGCGACTCTGGTAAAATGCAATGTAACTCTTCGCCAAAGGCAAACCCTAAAAGACGCGGTGCAGGACGGGCCATATCATGTAAGGACAAACAGTTTTCATTTGGCATAGTTGAGGAGGTCAAAACCTGTGAAGAGGCGGGCATGTTCTCCTCTTCCCTCCCTTGCACCTCCTCCTTGCCTGGCTCCTCCTTAACAAATTGAGTTTGGCCCATATGCCCACCGCAGTCCTAACTGGCAAACTTCACCTGTACTAGCATACACAAAGACATAGACATACGCACATGCACAAAGAGACACAGGCGTCAGAAATTTAAAAAAAAAACGCGACACGAAATGGCAATGCAACAAAAGCCGTAGAACTAGCATGTTTTCCAACACCACTTTCAGATTGAAGATACAAAAATGTTCGATAGTCCCCGCCCCCCAACAGTCACTTCTTGAACAAAAGTTCTACACGCCACAGGTAACTCCAATGTTATGCCATCAACGTAAGAAATCATACACGGTTTGTTTGTTTTTTTATTCTTTGAATGTGAGGATTTCTTCACTAAGTACGAACCCATTCCCAAGGTAAACTATATATATATATTACTTCCTCTAGCTCCAACGCTGTCACACATGACTCGAATAACTTCAAGGTAATATAGAAAACTCCCCAGCTAAACGGTTCCGCCATGATAACGTTGCACACGTTTCAGAGAAGTAAATACAGGTATTTTTCCCAAGTGTAAGGTGCACCAGCAATTCCTCTCACCAACGCTGTCCAACCTGGCATAATAACGACTAAAGACATTATCGTCTTCCCTCTTGGCAAAAAGATAAAATGAGTTAACTGATTTTCGAAATTCACGGTTCACCTCCCGACAAAATTCTCGGTCATGTGGAGCCAAAAAAGAAAGAATTCGATAAATTTCTATCTCCGGCAATAATCTAATTGGATTAGAAGTACCTAGCGACCTATTTGTATAATACTCAATATAATCCATTTTGGAGGTATTTTCCTCACTATTCCTGGATTTTCCATTCCGGTGATTGATCTTGGTTTCACGCTTTTTGTACTGTGTAAAGGAAGGTGAGATACAACCAGTATGAAAGACAGCCCCAGAACTATTTACCATATATTCCCCCAAAATAATTTGACCACATGAACTGCACAACGCCCCTGGTATACAACGCGCCCCCCTGCACTTTTGTTGCCGCAAATGACTAAGTGAAATGTAATTATCTACAGAGATAGAATCTAAAGAGGACTTCAAAACACGTTTAAAGCATGATTTGCCTTGAAGTACTCTTTTCAAACGAGGACCACCATGAGAAACATGGAGGCGGTTTGGTGTAGGAATGGACTGCAAAAAACTTTTCATATCCACAAAATCACTAGCTGCGTCCAAAAAATCACCAATAAGAATGGGGGATTGAATCACATTCGTCATAACCAAGTTCAAAAGCCGAGTATCATCACGGTGATCCTTAATGTATTCCATTGCAAGAGGTACACTTTTGATGCATCGAATAGCCATGCAAACAGCCTCAATATCATTCCCAGTTTTTCCAACAATATAAACAAGTTCTCGAAACATCTTTCGCTTTTCAACAAATTGAGCAAGTTTCTTCAAATTTAATTCACTCACCTGAGGATGTTGAATAAAGGTCAAGAGTTTATCTGGAGCATACTCCGAGTAGAGCTCTGCCATAAGTGAATGATATGCCCGTGTTGCTAAAGGAGACAATCTTGTAAGAGCATCCAATACATTTAAAAGTTGCACAGGCTGGTCTTTCAATTGATCAACAATAGTTTCTAATATGTCTTTAAGAAAATCAGCACGAACAGAATCAACCAGGTAGCGTCCAAATTCTTCACGATAATAAATAAGAATCGGAGTCAAAAAAACGGTATTACCACCAGAGTCCTTCAACCGAATAAATTCCTCAACAATATTATGACTAGTCAATAGATCCCATAAATGAATAATATCGGGAGGTGGAAATTCACGTAAGGGCTGACTACGCAAGATATCTCCCTCAAATACTTCATAACTTCGTGGACGTTGAGCTCCTATAAATGGAAGCATCATAACAAAATACTCCATATAACCTTTTGCAGCATCCATATATTTTTATTTTTAAAACAAATATGAAGATAGCTCCTAAGTAGGTAATTTACGTCGTCATCAAAGTAAAGCTCGCTTACAGCATTTTGCCATTCCACAAAGGTTAACGTTTCAATTTGACATGATAATTGTAAATCACAAGCTTCTTGTTTCTTAAACGAAAGACGTGCAAGAATACCAGACAAAACTGTTTTTGCACTATATGACATAAGCGGCCAGTGCTGTAAAAGCGAATTCAAGTCATAACTCCCATACTTTACAAGTTGAAGTAAAAAACCTGTATTTATAGTTTCATCGGAATAATTTGGGTTATACACTCTCGCTAGACATCCAATATGTTTTTGCAAACCAAATCGAAAAACCCATTGGTCCCACATAACATCATGTTTCGGAATACATTTTTCAATCAATTCTGCACAAAGGTCAAACTTTTTCTCCACAAAACACTGAGGCAGAATGGAAGAAATAACTTCAGAGATGGATAATTTGTGGCATCGTTCGGGGTATTCTTCTATGTAATAAATAATTTGCTTATATCGACGTGACATAAACAATCTATACAAGTTTAGATCACACCTTCCATCACACTGAGTACAAATAATACTTTTGCTACCCACATTATCATACCCATACAAACGCAAACATCGTGCACATGAACATTTTCGGCAAACAATCGAATGACACAATAGACACTCACAAAACTGTAAACTAAACAAAGCTCCCAAACCACAAATAGCACATACTGAACCTCGTTTCTTCTTGTCCTTCATAGCATTATTTTCAGGCTTAAATTCCCATAGAGAAACACGAAATCCAGCCAAAATTGAACCGTAATCTGAAAAAAACATATTGGTAGTTGAAATCGTATCACATCGAGAATGCGACTGCGAAATATTTATCGCTTGCACAGATTCACCAAATTTTTTTAAACTTTCTAACAAACCCATATAAAATGCGGCATCATCTTTCAGTTCCTCAACAATATCCAAAATTGGACGTAAACATATGGTATGAAGTGTATTTTTGGCAACAAACATACCAAATCGCGGTCTTGAGTAAAGTTTATCGTTGGGTACAAGGGTGGCATCAAGAGAAATGTTTGCAAAAGAATAACTACCATATGATTCCGTCTCCAATGATGATTGGACGTATGAACCAGTTCTATAGTCATAAAACTCCAAACCAAACAAGCCTCCAACGCAAACCCATGGTCCAACAGAAAAAACACATGCAGGTAATGAACTAGTAAAGACTGGAAATCTAAGAGTTTCCGTAAAGACATCACCCACTTGCACAAACAAAACCAGATAATACGCAAAATAAAGATTACAACCTTCAAAAAAAACTACAAAACTTTTTTTTCCATTATTAGCATCTGACATCTTATCACTTGGTAAAAAGCACTCGGGCAACGGAATTGCATAATGTGCTGGAGTTGTATGTGAACCCAAAGAAAGCATATATGTACCATCAACACCGTAAATATGTAACATACGTTCTCCGGAGCAACACAAACAATCCGGTGTTACCCAGTTACATGCACTAATATTTGCCACCTTAAAGCGGCTAAGCAAAAATTTACCATTTCTAGTATAAATAAAAACGGATACATCAGATGCCTCCAATACGGAAATACATGCACCCTCCCTCACAATAACAACGTCGAAGTCCGTCACTACAGCATCAATCACTGGTAATATTGCTTGAAATAAAATCATTCTTTCTCTCTTCAAGCTGGTCGAATAAAGTTTACCGTCACTCAAGATGAAAGTGGCATCAAGTGCAGAAATATGCCTCAATTTTCTTGCTGGTGTCCTTAAGTTGACCGCATAAATGTATTCAATTTCAATGATGCTGTTATCAATTGCCAAAAGAAATAAATCAGTAGTTCCATGGCAAGCCACCAATACACTATTCGCATCAACGGTACATAAACTTAGAACATTTTGAATTCCTGCGGCTTGTTGCCGCGAGCACTCCGCTATTGGAATATTCATCTACAAAAAAAAAATATCGCAAATTAAAAACAAGAAAAACAAAGAATTAAAAAACAAAAGAAAGAATGAAACAAACAAAAAGTAAACCGGAACCATCATTTTGAAACCTTCGGCTCCACCCTCAATAATTTTACGTAAAAGCAAAAAAAAAAACAATTACAAATAAAGATTAAAAAGCAGCTAATAGCAGATCCGTCCGAACTAACATATATATTAAAACAAAATAGTAATAATAATAATAATAACAGTAATAATAATAATATTAACAGTAATAATAATAATAATAATAACAGCAATAATAATAATAATAAT